ACTTTCGATGGCCTACACTACATGAAGATCTGACCAGTTGTAGAGATAGGTCGCGTCAGGTCATACGATCGGCTGTCAATCATATCGAAAGAAACCGAGATCTTTGGGATATAAATGGGTCAAATCAAAAATACCCCTCCCTGTTACAGACGGGAATCACACAAAATTCAAAATATTCAGCTATACTTGAAAAGCCTAGTTACGTCTTACTTGATGACGAATAACAAACGAAATGGGAATGTGGACTGATGTTTTCCTTTTTTTAGTGTTACAAAAATAACTACAGAAGCTAATTTTAATAATTATATATTTTTATAAATTAACAAAAAGTAACATTTTACATCATCAAACAAAACTCGACAAACAACAATATTTAATCCTAGAAAAAATAAATTGTCAATTTATTAAAGTTAATTTAATTCAGGCCTATACAATAATTTAGAATTAAAATTCTTAGAATAATCAGCCACCATTCCTTTTCATATATAATTATGGATTATGGCCCCATACAAAAATGCATAAAATTATCTTTATTTCAGACTGGTCTTGGTTGGCATTTGGATTGAACCTGAGAATTAAGTTATTTCCCAAATCCTGTCTTGCACAAACTTTACCTCATTTTATTTATTTAAAAGCTTATGTATGGCGTATAGCAATAAAAAAATTTGTGGACGTAGTATTCTTCGCCATTAGAGGCGTAGCCGTGAAATATATATGGGAGGGAGAGTGGGGGAGGGTCTTCTGACGGGGGTGCCGTATTCATATTTTTTTCATGTTACGCTTGAGTTATGAACAACACGACAAAGAGAGTTTAGTAGGGGAATTTTTATGAGGCGGATCCAAATGAAACAAAACTTGATCACATAATTTCAGTTTATCAGGATGCATATTTGACAATCACCAAATTGTTAACTACAATACATATACACATTGACATTTACAAGAAAGTTGTATAGGTATTTAAATTATTTTATACATTTTGTTTATTATAAATGGATATGAAAAAGTAAACATAAGTGTTTGTGGTTTAATTTGTACATTTTTTGTATGCAGAAAGAATCTTAACTTATCCTAATAATTGTTGTAAATAAATAGGAGTTGGGGCCTACTATGTAAATTGGGGGGGGGGGGCAAGTATATTCAGACCCCCCCCCCCCGCCCGAAAAACAATTGGGAGGGGGGGCGGACCATGTGTGACGCCTATGATCGCCATGCTCAGAAACGAGCAAAAGAGATTTTAGATTCTCTGACAGAAAATAATCTTATTTTAATAATTCGGAAAATACATTACACAAAGACAATAGTTTTGATAATACTATAACAGTGCAAAGAAATGGAGATGTATCTGTTGGTGAATATATGGATTTCATTACAACTAGTATTAGCAACGATATTGAATATGATCAATTTTCATCTTATATGGAAAGCGAAAGCATTTCTACATATGATGAATCAGAGCAGTCTGGGTAGGAAAGAGATCTTAAATCCAAATTACAGGAATGGGCTGTTAATAGCAATGTTCCTCATTGCCATATAAACACTTTACTAGATATTTTACATCTCGAAAACCCAAGGCTTCCGAAAGATCCCAGAAAATGCAGGGGGTTTTTATTTTTATTATACTTTCATTATGTACAAAACTGTCTCTTCAGTTAAATATTGATGGACTTCCACTTTTTAAAAGTAGCAATACACATTTTTTACCGATTTTATGTCTTTTTATGGAAGAGAAGATAAAGGTGCGCTCTGTCATTGGGTTGTTTGTAGGCCAGACCAAACCAAAAGATGTCAATCAATATCTGAAGTATTTCATTGATGAAGTAAATGAAAGACACCAAAGAAAGGACAATAGTTCAAGTGCGTGGTCTCCCAGTTGGAGTTGATATTTTAAATTTTGCCTGCGATATCCACGCTAGAGCAAATGTCCTTTTTTGCAGATCCTCAAATGCAAACACAAAGGAATTCGTCGACAAGAGCCTCTTCACATCCGGTAACCCAATTTGAAAGCTGTTACCTCAGTAAGTATTTTGAAAGTATCAAAATAGTTTCGGGTAACTCTTTTTTAGCTTATATACTGTAAACCATTGAAATTAATGTACCTTATGATTTATTATAGTTAACCATTAATGAAATTTGTCCTATTATACACATAAAATGTAATATTATTTGTTTTAGATACTCCGCAGCAGTCAAGAACTGACCCCAACTGGAAGCCGTTGCCTCAGTAAGTATTTCCATGTTATTAAAATAAATGTTCGTAGAAGAATGGTAACTGCCTTAGATCATATGTTGATGAATGTTTGGATTGATTAGTTCGAAGCATAATAAACCAGATGAGGACATTTCCTTGACTTTTTACGGATACTAGAATGTTATTGAATCGTCTGTTGTGCTTGTTTTCTGTCGTACAAAATGTTAATGCATCTTTCATGGTAACCACTTGTTATTTGATCATAGTTACCGGATAATAATAATAAAGGGTCATAAGGAGATATAGCGAAAGAGAAAATATCGTACCAAAGCTGCTGTTTTTGTCTGAATATTTGTTTTATCCAGGAAAAGGATTTACATGGTATATGTTCCTTTAAGTTCACCATTTTTAAGCCACCGGAAGCATAATCTTTACATATGACCTCGCGCTTGATTTTGTCCTTGCCATTCCATACGAATCGATAAAATATCGTATTCAATTCATCGATAGTTTTGTCAGGTATGTATAAGGATTGTAATTGATGTGATAGCATAGAGAGGCAAAAAAGTTTTATAATGATAATTTTACCACTTAATGAGAGGTTTCTGAAAGACCATTTGTTATTTAACATGTTTTTGAAGTGTTCTAGTTTATTGTCAAAATTAAGTCTGTTTCGCAGGTTTGTGTTAAATGAGAAGAAGATTCCTAATATTTTTTATGGCTGTAGAATTTACTGTCAAATTGAAATTTATTGCAAGCTGATTGCTTGAGTTTAGATTTTAGGCTTCAGTTTTAGAGTAGTTGAAAGAAAGACCAGAAATCAGCCTGAATTGATTTAAAACTTCTAGAAGGTGACGTCCCGACTTAAAGTCCATTAGCAAACAGGTACGATCATCAGCGAAGGCAACAATTTTAGCACTGTTTTGTCCAAAACCTATTCCTGTGATGTTCCCGTCGTTTCTTATACATTCGCATAACGCCTTGATAATTAAATTAAATAGATTTGCAGACATCGGATCCCCTTGTCTTGGTAGTGTACCCATTGTTTATTACAGCACATTCTATGTTGGCGTACAGAATCTTAATCCAACTTATAAATTTTCTTTTGAAGCCAAAATGGCAAAATACTTTAAACACATATGAATGGGAGATTGAATCGAAGCTTTACTGAAATAAACTGCCAACAGAAAGCCTGTAATACGCCTTTGTTGAGCTAGGGAAAAGCAGTCGTCTAGAATTCTAATACTTTCATAAATATGTCTTCCAGGCACAAATGCCGTTTGATTGGGATGAATTAGTTTTTCTAAAAAGGGTATCAATCTATTGCATAGCGCTTTACTGGCTATTTTTATATCAACATTTATTAAGGTAATGGGCCTCCAGTTATTTAACTCGTATTTACATTTATTGGGTTTAGGCAGAAGTTTGATGATAGATTGCCGTTGGATAACTGAAAAGGAGCCGTTTTCAAATCCTTCGTTCAGAGAGTCCAGAATAAGATGTTTGAGTACTGGCCAAAACAGGAGTAAAACTCTGGAGTCGAGCCGTCGTTTTCAGGCGAAGTTCCATTTTTAAACGAGTTAATCGCCTTTTGACACTCTTGAGTATATAACTTGTGCTCTAGACAGTCTGCTTCATAATCCTCAAGTTGTAGCAGAGAGAGATTAGTTTTATCAATAAATTTTTCGATGCCACTTAGTTTTGTTACCTTTTCTTAATATAAATTTTTGCAATATAATTTCTATTTCACCCATTATTTGATTAATATTTTGAATAAGTTTATCGTTAATTGTCGTGGAGATCTGTGTCTGTTTCTCTAAATTTAAAAAGAACTGTGTGTTTTTGTCACCTTCTGTATAGTAATGTAATTTTGCCCTAAGTATTGCCCCTTCTGCTTCGTGGTTGTAAATTGAATTTAATTTGTGTTTGACATCCTTGTAGTCTGTCATATACTCTTCATTTTCATTGTTTTCTATTAATTTTGTATCAAGGTTTTCAAATTGTTGTTCAATATCTGCCTTGAATGCTCAGAGGGATTAGTTTTAGTTCAGAAAAAAATAATGCCAGATTTGGGCCCCTTTTATGTTTGCAAAGATTTAGACAGATCTGTATTGCAAAATTATTATTAACGTTTGTCGTGAGTTTCTATTTGACCCACGTGGTCTGTGTCCTCGATTTACGGCCATTTCGTGGTGTTGCACTTATAAAGCTGTTTTGAGGGAAATTATCTCTCTGTTTTACATTGTGCTGGTTTGAGAGATTTGATCTCTCTCATGTAATCTAAATTTCGGATTACTGTCGTGGATTATTACCACGTGGGATTATACCGATTCAAGGATCATTCATCCTGGCAGATTTGGATCATCCATGTTTTTTTTTAAATTAAATATAATTCATCTTCACGATTCATGTTTGTTTATAATAATGGATGAATTGTGGGATTTATTTCGGAAAGGGACGCAAATCTTACTTGACATGGCGAAATTTACCGGATAATCAACCACATACGTTGGAGACTACGAGGTTCTGGGTAACCGATACTACGCAATACTACCCTAACCCAACTAATCTGGACTGTCGGAATAGTGGGGTTTTGTTGGTTGGGGGGGGGGGGTGGTAGGGTTTAATTACGATTCAAAAACGGCACGGTCTTGGAGCGATCTATATTTTAAGATAAATTAAAGAAATACATTATTATATAAACAATGAAACAGTAAAATATGCTGAAAAGTGTGTGTTTTAGTTTAATAACTATACAGCTAATTTACACAGTAAGGTTCATCTGCTGAAGTTTTTAAGTAAAAGGAACCCCGGGATTGTATATTTGAGTGGTATCCCATCACAGCACAGCCAGTACCACAACTTGTACATTTATCCTTTTTAAAGTTAGACCACGAGCCGCACGGAAAGGAGTTAAATGTACAGCCGCCATTTATAGATTCTGTGAAGAGCTCGATAGCTCTTGAATGGCTACAAGCAACAGCGCTGGTAAATTCTGTAAAAAAGAGTTGGTGAAATATTATATTGCATATTGTTACCTTAGACAATATTTACAAAATAAAATGTCAAAAAGTAATTTAAAATGGCTAGACCTATTTGATTTGGGTAAAAAATCAAATTGTCGATTTCCTTGTTTCGTGGGACCGGATGTCCTTAATACAGCAAATGTTGAGATATGGCACGCTGGCTCGCTAGCCTGGAGGTCGGGTGTTTGATCCCTGCATTGGCCGAGAACGTTCATCCAGATTTTCCGGCGTGGTTTCCTCTTGTCAGTGATGCAGGACGGAGGGCCTGACAAAGACAGCTGTCTAGTCGTTCGGATGGGACGAAAAACTGAGGTCCCGTGTACACATTGGCGTGCACGTCAAAGATCCCTTGGCAGTTGGAATTCGATATAAGAGTAGGCCGTAGCGCCGCTGCCTGGGCAAAATTTCCCCTATAGCACACTGTATGGCCGTCTTCATTAGCCCAGTTTAGGAGCAGAACAGTAGGACGTTAAACCCCATTTCATTTCATTTCATTTCATGACTCCATGTTTAGCTATTAAAATTATTAACACAAATATAGCGTAAAAGAGACAATTTTCGGCAACAGTGGATTCCTGAATATTCGAATACAATAGGCTCAGAAAATAAGTCGGAAATAAACATCTACGCATAAAGTACCAGTTGGAATACTTACTGTTGAATTTACCAGTGATGAGCTTTAATATGGTACCACCAGTATTTTTACATCCAGGTTGATCCTTTCCACCATTAGGATAAAAATCTGCATCTCCCACGGCCTTAGCCATACCAAAAGCTGCAAAGCATAAATAAAGATTGTGCTCAGTGTATTGTGTATTTGTAAACAATATAATGTTATTTCTTTCTTTACCGTGATTTACATTCTGTCTCAGGTGTGAGTAAGCGTGTACGAACACGCACCTTGTGTATAATCCAAGTTAGAGGCAAAATGCTAATAGAACTCTAATTAAAATGGGCGATATGATGGCTTCTTGACAACAAATTATATTTACTATATGTTATGAAGTACATTCAACATAATTCTGTTTTTAAGTAACATTCCATACCTAACTGAAGAAGTGACTCGCCGTCAGTATGTATGACATCTACATAGGCCGCGTCAGAAGGGTCCAGTCGTACCTCAGCTTTGTAATCTTCAAAAGCCGAACCAGCAGGATCTAAGCCAGTTATTCTTCCCAACCCTGGTATAATTTCTCCAATGTATCCAGCAATATGAGAACCCAGACTGTGACCAATGACATAAACATTGGAGTAACTGATCCCACCAACTGACTCCAGATCTTTGATAAGATGAGCAGCCAAAGCACCAACTACTCTTGTATTAGCCGCTGATTTATAATAGTTAGTCTCACCAGCACCCTTTTTCCAATCCACAACGATAATATTGGCCTCCTCCTGAGAAGCAATAATCGCAATTAGTTCCACATAGTATAAACACTGTGATCTACACAAGAAAATATAAAGACGACAACATATCTCCATAAAAAAAATCAAAAGTGACATGGCAAGCAGTTGTTAAAATCATTTACATTTAACTGGCAAGTTCCTGTGTACGCACTGGCGTGGACGTATAAGAACCCTTGACCGTTGAAATTTAATATAAGAGTAGGACGTACCGCCGCTGTCTGTGCAAAATTTATCTCACAGCACACTGTACGCCTCCTGCCCGTCTTCATTATCCCACGAGGTGCAGTAAAGTAGGACATTGAAACCAATTTCATTTCTTTCCATTCCTTACCACGAGACGTTCGTAAATTTTAAAATTAGATTTTCAAAAATACCTACATATATTAGAATTTCATCGACCATCTTCATAACCCACTTATCAGCCCCCTTATCTGTATAGCCATGTATAATGAGAATGGTTTTCAAACCACCGTTAAAAGTACTGTTGCTGATACTAGTGTGGTCATTTACGCTGATGACTTGACTTCTATTCGCCCTGGTGTTCAGTGAAAAACTGATATCTTGCTTTTTTGGCGAATCTGGGGTGTTGCCCTTTGCGTTGTGGAAGGGTTTGGCCGTAGAGAAACATCCGTAAGGTTCGTAGCATACCTTATGGCTACCCAACCACCACCCTAAAACAAATATAAATCAGTGTTGAAAAATAGTGATTACAAAAACTGTTAGAATCTATCGACAATTTCTTTCATAGTTTACCCAACAGCAATATAGTGGGGCAAATTCCCCACTGTGGAAAATCACAGAAAAGCAGTGGGGAAATACCGTTGTTTGTATTATTTGGCAGGCAGATGAAAAGTAGCATATTTAGGTAAAAATTACACTTGTAACACAAAACACGGGGCGTCCACATCCCAAAACATCTCTAAGGTATGCTTTATTCAATAATTTTCTCGAACCCTGTGTCTGTCAGCCTGTCCGGACTCCCATAATGCCCCATTGCGTCAGATTTCTTGACAAAAATGCTCTGATGGATCCGTGTGTAAACTGGAATCGTGCATGAAACAGGGATACTCGGGACTTTTCTTTTGATTCCGTGACCTCCAACCTGCCTTGGCAACTATGCGTAGCGAAATACACCATGGGGTTTAAGGTCCTACTTTTCTTCACCAACCAGGATAATGAAGACGGCCTTTTCCAAACAGTATGCTAAAGTTTTGCCCGGACTGAGGCGCAAATGCCTCTTATTTCAAATTAAAATCTCAAGGGTTCTGTTTTGTGCCATTGACATGAGGAAAAACCATACTGGAAAATCATGGGACCTGTTACTTAGCGAGCCAGTAGCTTAGTCACCAAGCCAACTAAATACGCAATGAAACTTATCCGATATGTACCATTATTTCTTATTACGCATTAAACAATTTCGTCCAGTTCTAAAGACGTTTCATCGAACACCTTGTCCAGCTTCGATTTAATGATCTGAAATTAAATCCATCGTAATATACCATTGAAATATTCAGAATTTCAACCGGGTTACTTCTGCACAAATTAACAATCCCATCAACGTTTAAAAAATTCCATTAACTGGAATCTAGATTTGGCGTGATTTGGTTATGCATTTACATCATAGAGTTTTGGGAAAAGTATGAGACCAATCTGCCAAGGTTTATATAACATATCATAAACCTGTAACGGTAATTCTCTTTGATCTTTGGGGTATATTCTAAACCTGGAATAACTTGCGGTCTGGAAGTCGGAGGCGGCTTTGGATATATACAAGGAAATTTGGGGTTATTCATCTGAAAGTTTTTCTTTAAACCTGTAACGGGTTATTCTTCCAGGGTAGGTTTTTTTCCCATAAGAAAACATGATATAGAGTTTTTCTTACGGGAATTCTGGGATATTCTCATCTTGCGTACATGTAAACATAGACGGCTTATAAGCAAGATAAAGTCCTCGACTTCGGTTATGCTGGGAAAGAAAGACTTTAGAAAAAAACTTGACAGCAAAACCTGGGCCTAACGGCCTCGGTTTTTCTTTTTCTCAGGCTATTTTCTTGTCTTTCTTTCCCCAGCATCTCAGTCTTGTGCTTTATCCTACACTCAAAGTAGATAAATAGCAAGTACTTCTACGTTTACAGTAGATAGATACATAAATAAATATAAAAATACGTCAAGGTGAAAAAAAATAACCACTTTACTTCATTATGATATACATCAAATCATTAGCTAGCTGTCTGCTGTTTATCAGGCTTCACCAGATGTTATAATGTATATAAATAATTAAACATTAGCCATATATATATATATGCATAAATAAATAAAAAATACGTCCAGGTAAAAAAGTGTTCACATAATACATAATATGACATAAATACATGAGTAATGGGATTTATATAGATATAGACCTTTCAATTTTATTTTACATACTGGTACACATCTTTAAGATATTTCCAGGAATTTAACTACACGTGTAATATTATGAAGCTTAAGTAAAACACCTTATCCAAAGTGCTTGGATTTTCGACAGTAAGGTGGGTAAATGACTGCTTTGATTACGGTATTATATCAGATTAATTACATTTGTGGAAAATGATAATTATTCTTTAAATATTACTACTCATAAATAACCGCAAAAAAGATTCACCTCTATTGATTGATCTGGGAGGCCGCGGTAGGCAATGAGTGAGGGCACCGGACTAAAAGTCACAGATTCAAATCTTATTTTGGGCTGAGAAAAACTTTAAGGATTTTTATGCGAGTTACATTTAAAGTGTGTCCAGGTGTTTGGATTGTGCGATAAACCGGGGTACTTCCGTGTGCATGTAAAATGGAAATCCAGGAAAAGTAAACGCAAGTCACTTTCTAGGGCAAAATTCGTCTATTGCACATGTAAACATAAAACATAAATAGGTGTGTGTGCCTCAATATTGTGTCGACGAGATAGTAATAAACCCCAACCGAAAGACTAAAATAATCAAATTGATGTAGACTACCCATTGATGACTTTTTTTCTCTCAAAAAGCTTACCTTGAGTGACGGAACACAAAACAACGAAAATATAAACTTGGATTAACATCGTCCACGATACCTTAACGGTGAAGTGTTTACTACTTTGTCAACGTGAGGTTTTATACGTCCATCTGTCAACCGCTCTCACATTTTGTTAGGCGATTAATTAATGGCTAATGGCTATTTCGCCAAGAACAAAGCATTAAATATCCCAGTTGGATTTGATAAAATTAAAAGGGTGACGGATCTTACAGCCATAGTACAAATTTAAAATGTTATTAAACCAGTGATGAAATCGGCTTGATTAAAGTTGTTAATAAATGAAAATTGGAAAACCAACCACTTTTACTTCCTCATTCTTCATCAAATCATAATATGCTAGCTATGTGCGCTAAATTGGGCGTCTTATGATGTTATAATGCACTTCTATCTGATTTGTTATGATCCGAAATGTTCATTGAATGTAACTTTCAGGAAAAAAACCCCTATTTCTTGTTAAGTAAAATGAGAAGTTGATGATTCCTCTTTTCTACGTTGAGGTGATGTTAAAAACCAGGTGAAAAATGGAGTTTACACTTTGTAGACGCTAAATCATCTCCACCAATTATTATCATAGTAAATAAATGTTATTTAACTGATTAAAATTATTATCATACCATAATTGTTATTAAATGATTAACTTATTATCCTTTGATCTGACAAAACTCCCCGGGCAAAAATTGTTGATCTTCTATACCTATCCGTATACAAAATCGAAAAGATTACCAGTCTATAAAAGTGTATTAGTCTAAAAAATAAAGCTGTGACCTATAATACATACGGATTTAACTTGCCTTTATTGCAATTAGGTAACCGCAATGAGGGTATTTTCCAATGCAATTCCCCCTTGTCAATGGTGCATGACGAAGGGTCTGTCAATTTAAGTGTCTAGTCGGATGGGGTCTAACTTCCTACATTTTTTCTGCACCGACTGGGCTAATGAAGACGAGTATGCGGCATACAATGTGTTATGGGGACAATTTCCCCCGGACAGTGGCGCTACGGCCTACTCTTATTTCGAATTCCAACTGTCAAGAGTTCTTTTACGTGTACACGGGACTTACGGTATGCGTCTCATCCGAACGAGTAGACACTCCCTTACTAGGGAACCACACTGGAAAAGCCCAATGAACTTTCTCGGCTAACACGAGCATAGAACTGGTTAGCGAGTTTGAGTCTTATCCGGCTCGGCTCCCCGCCTCCCCCTGTGCACGAGAGGTTCTTGGGGTAAAATAATGCACGAGGGCAGCCTTTAAGGTAAATATAATAATAAAACAGAATACATATAATTTAAATTTTAATAAACAAACAAGGTTTAATATTCGCAATATGTGCTGAAAAAAAAATATGCTGTTTTTGTTATCGCATTATGTGCTAAAAAGAATTTATGCTTGGGTTTTGTTCTCGCAAAATATGGTGAAACGAATGAACATTGTTTTAGTTTTAAAATTGAATTCAGGTATTATGAGAAAAGAATATCACGCTTTCGTCAGCTAATTTACACAGTAAGGTTCATCTGCTGAAGTTCGTAGGTAAAACGATCCTCGGGATTGTTTCTTTGAGTGGTATCCCATGACAGCACAACCACTGCCACAACTTGTACATTGACCGTTTTTAAAGTTGGACCAAGAACTACAGGGAAAGGAGTTAAATGTACACCCTCCATTTATAGATTCTGTGAAGAGGTCGATCGCTCTCATGTGGCTACAGGCAACATTGCCGATCAATTCTGTTAAAAGAATGGAAAAATATTTATAATATAATAATGTAAATTGTTTTCCGAGAAAATATAACTTAAAATGATAAGTATTCTTTGAATTTGTTCAAAAATAATATTGACAATTTCAGTGAATTTTATATGTTAAGTTTGTTTTGACCAAAGAAAATCTTTGTCCTCTATAGATAAAGATAGTTTTGTAATGTAACCGATTCTGCGTTCTGCTGTCGACATAGTAAACCAAAATGAGTAAACAGGTGGACTTCCGCGGATGTTAACCTCCTAACACAGAGATGCGCCCAATGTGACGTTATAAAGAGGGCGAATCAATTGTAATCAAACTAAGGGGGATAACTCCCGGTAACATAACCTCAATTCTCTGCCCATTGACTGCAATGTTAAATCCATGATATTTCTTGAACTATAATATTCTTTAACTATTCGATGATCTTAATCTTTATAACCACTAAGAGATCAACATGTCGCAATCCTCTGATATTGAACATTTCGATTTATTGCTGGGGTTGACGCCATTTTAGTAGAGTATCATCCTAATTCATGTATCTTTACTTCCTCATCCTTCCGCCTCAAAATCATGAATATTCACAAAAACCTGACAGAAAGTAGAAATCCAAACACTCTTCTCAAAAGGCGCCATTCACATTGGGAGAAAGGGGGGATTGCTATAAGAAATCAGCGGAAACAATTATTAGTCCATTGGCGCTTTTATGTATACCCTGCTTGATATGGCGTACATAATCCCGAGAAATGCAGTTATTCAAAGGGTTTAGGAAAGAAGGCAGCAATACGAATAAAAGCACCCGGGAAAGAGGCGGTATTATGTATGAGCTAGCGTGCTGGAAACCACTAGTATGCATACTTACTGTTAAAATTACCAGTAAGGAGCTCTAAGAAGATACCACCAGTATTTTTACATCCGGGTTGATCCTTTCCACCATTAGGATAAAAATCCGCATCTCCAACAGCCTTAGCCATACCAAAAGCTGAAAACCATAAATTATGTGATCAGTGGAGTGTATGCAATTTGCCCGTTATCATTAGTCCGAAATGAAATGGGTTTTACTTTTCCGTATGAATTGAGCTAAATTTTGCCAGTGCAGCGGCAATACGGCCTACTCTTATTCCGAATTCCAAGGGTTCCTTTACGCAGATGTCAGTACACGGGACCTGCACCCTGAAAAGAGTAAACTGCGTCGGAAATTACCGAATAACTAGTTGTCGGATTAGTACTGTCTGTCAGTAGGGCATATATATAACCACCGCGATGTTGGGGACAATCTGTTGGGCTGTATAAATTACCACAGATCGTTGATGAAAATTGCCTCCAAATAATACTTCGTGTACGCAGGCCATACTATTACAGGAAAAATTATAACTTAAAGTAGTGTCATTCACCGCTATCAGTGCCCACGCATGCTGATGAAACGTCTAATTCTACGAATATGTGGAAAATTCTAATCAAATCATTTTCTACGCATTTTTGTTTAGTATCAGATTTAAAGTGTTTTTTGACAAAATAGTTTCAGAATTTATTACTTTATTTTTAGTATTGATGGATTGTTGTTCGCAAAATCATGATTCGAGATAACAATATAAATTGTATTGAGGAAGTAAATTCAACTTATTTGCGCTTTTAAACAACATTTCGTACCTAAATGAAGAAGTGTTTCGCCGTCAGTATGTATTACATCTACATAGTCAGCATCAGAAGGATCCAATCGGACTGTGACATCATAGTTTTCAAAACCCAAACCAGCAGGATCTAAACCAGTTATTCGTCCCAACCCTGGTATAATTTCTCCAATATATCCAGCAATATGAGAACCCAGACTGTGTCCAATGACATAAACATTGGAGTAACTGATTCCACCAACTGACTTCAGATCTTTGATAAGTTGAGCAGCCACAGCACCAACTACTCGTGCATTAGCCACTGCTTTAAAATAATTTGACTGAGCAGCGCCCTTTTGCCAATCAATAACGACGACATTGCCGTCTTCCTGGAATACAATAATGATATGATGAGACTAAAATAATGAAACCAACAATGCCCATGTAGGAAAACTATAGGTCATGTATACAAAGGGGTTTAAAGGGGAAGGCCAACGATTTTCAACAAGGTTTCCATAAATCTTAAATATATATTCATATATAATTCCCTATGTAAAACAAGCAAAAATGTTTTTGTTAACGAGAAATTAATTTTTATTAAAATCGGAAGTGACGGTATGTTACCCCCCCCCCCCATAAATTCGTGTTTATAATATCCTAATAAACAGCCCATTTGATCAGATTTGTGTCCAAAGGACAACGCGTGAACAAAATACAGCAGTAAACATACAAATCTGTATGCTTACTATAGAGACCAGTGAGCGTGTTGAACCAACTACATCACTTCCGGTTTTAATATATATTTAAGATTTATGGAACCTTGTTGAAAAGCGTTGGTCTTCCCCTTTAACATCGACTAACAAACTAGGCCATTTCGAGACTTAACATGCCTAGTTCAGTGTAACCTTCAGTGGTGTAAATTAGTGCACAACATTCGTCGACCAATCGCAGATTCCGACCATAGCTAAGTAGCCATGTATACAAGAATTCGGTATTCAGTTATTGTGACACCACGGGCACGGGATCAAACAATCCTTCGAACCGAACTAAAATGAAATAGGGTTGAACGTCCCACTTTTCTGCTCCGACTGGGCTAAGGATGGTGGGCGTACGCCATAGTGTACTAGAGCGAAATATTGATTGGGCCAGAGGGATCAGAACGGTAGGACGTTAAGTCCCATTTTATTTCATTCTTTTTTCAATTCTTCAGTAACTGACATTATCCCAGCTCTGTGTATAGCAATAGAGTATGGCTATACCATGTTTAACCACATGGCCATATGTACCTGACGATCTTCAATGTGTTACATTTTCTGCCAATTCATGACATTCACGTCACATAAGAATGATTAACATTTACCATTTTAGACCTTTACTCTCATTTTACAAGTCCGTTTTATCTCATTTTTTCGGTCTTCAAATGGTGAATATTTAATCCTGTATTGAATTCGTCCTAATCATATAGGACCCCGTACATCTATAACTTAACAGATCTTCCTTAGAATATTATCTTGACCCGTACCCCTATAACCTATCAGCTCTTCCTATGCATGTATAGGTCCCCATACGCCTATAACCTATAATTCCTCCTACTTATATACCACCCCGTACGCCTATAACCTAACAACTCATCAACATTATATACCACCCCGTACGCCTATAACAACCCCTTCCCAAAACAGAGTCGCAGAAAGGCTGTTTTATGAACCTCAAAAATTATTTATGGCTACGATGAATGGGGTGCGTGTCGGTGTATTGTACAGAAATACTAGAATTTACAAAAACTTACAAATTTCAGAATTTCGTCGACAATTCGCTGAATCCATGGTGAGCTTTTATCCATGTAGCCATGTATAATGACAATGGTTTTAAAACCAGAATAGAAATGGCTATTGCTGATACTAGAATGGTCATTTACTCTGATAGTTTGACCTTTTCCTCGTCTTGTGTTCAGTGAAAAACTGATACCTTGCTTTTCTGGTGAATCGGGTGTGTTGCCTTTGGAGTTGTCGAATGGTTTGGCCGTAGAGAAACACCCGTACGTTCCGTAGCAAACTTGCTTACTTTTTGACCACCACCACCCTAAAACAAAGATACCAAGGATTACATCAACAATTTTTAAATACATTTATGGTAATGCAAGGAGCTACCACCTCAATTCGTATTTCAAATATAAACGAACTACCCACGCCTTGAGAAGATGTCCACTGCATGTCTAATATTAAAATTTGGTTTTCTAATTATATATTTTTGACTTAAATTTTTATGGCTTGCATTTTTAATCGATTTATTTTTATTACTCTGCTCCCAGTTTTTTTTATCCTCCTTTCAATTTTTTTTTCAACTATTCAAGATCTGGAAGCACTCAAACTTCATATGAATTTTAAAATATTTTAGAATTAACTTACCCTGGGTGACTGAACATAGAACAAGAAAAAAGCCAACTTTGATCAACATTGTGTGATTTAAAACTGGAACAGGATGTTGTAGTAGGTTAGCACGGTCTATTATACCCTGGCTGTCAGCTGCCTACACATTTAGTGTCTGATTAATTAACGTTACGTATGAATTAATTGATGAATAATACTTCCGTGACGATTATTAGCTTTCCGACAAATCAAAACGGTATATACGCCCTCCTTCCTATTTCTAGGATCTCAAAATTGGCTTCCTTGTCTGTACCGGTATCGGAAATGTATACAGCATTTGAATCAGATCCTCAGTATAAGTACAAAAATGCAGGGTGAAATCTCGAGGTGATAATCAACCGACATTGACTGTAAATATTGCTTCAGGAATAGCCATTGTTATTGACTAAAACATAGATTTGTTCATCTCAAATTAATTCGAGCCTCAGTTTTATAAGGGATTTTTTTTTTTTTTTTTAAAATCTTCTTTTTTGATATTTTCAGTTTTATTAACCTATTGCCACAAAACTAAAAATTTCAGTTACGGATTGTGAACACAATATTAAAGCCACACTGCAGAATATTCTTCTGCGCTCAGGTTTATGTAAAATCAGTTTATTAATTATCATGATATGTCCTCCCCCTTCTTTACCAGAATTTTTATTTCTGCTTAAATATAAAAGTGGCACCATTAAAATTATGCTGCACCTATGGTTTATCAACAACTTATTTCTGTTCTAGATATTGATAGTGGGTTTAAAAGGGACCTTTATAAATATTATCAAGAAAATCAATCTTAACATTCAAAATAAATTTTAAACATTCTTTGAATAAATACTGAACCAAAGACAAATCAAAATCAGAATTTTTACTGATCGGCGAGGATCGCTCAAGTCAGAATGGCTCTAAAAAGTTGATTAACATGTAGCATTAAAAAATACGAACTATTATTTAGATTCAGTGAACTGGTTTTGATAATAGATGATATCAGCTTTTCAGCAATACACTTTGTTCTAAACACTACGCACTAACTAAAGACTATCAATACCACATGTATATATTTATATAATCGAAATTAAGATAACTTGTAAATGCCATAGTAATGATGCCGTGTGTGTAGACCCAGTTGAAAGGTATATAACCACCAGTTTATTGGCAGAGAGAAGAGACGCAGGCGGGAGAGGAGTGGGGAGAAGAGAGGAGAAGAGACCGACGAATGGGCTCATCCTAGTTCAGCCGAGGCAGAAGGGCGCAATGGTTGAAATATAGTCATATACTATTATAATGTACCGTGTTGATGTTTGATTTATGTTCGTGTGTATTTATGTTCCTCTTCCCGAAGTAAATAAATATTATATTTACTAAACTGATTTCTGTTATCACTAAAATAGTGTTAAGATCAATTACTTGGCAACAATGTGAATTTAAATTGTCATTTGTTGTACACACATTAAGTAAATTGAGTTTCACAGGAACAGAAGCAATTAGTTTTGCCACGTTTTACGGGCATATCAATAGTGATGTCGATTTTAATCAAAATGCTTCAATAATTGTCATTGGTATGCGAGCTTAGTTCGCCTGAAGCTAATAATAGCGCGTGTGCTATATAAATTGTTTATTTATTAACAGGACAAGCCCACAATCAACGATACTTTTAAGTATAGCTTAGAACACTGTGGTCATTTGAGAGTTAAACGATGAAATGGATAATCTAAACTTGGTTTCGATTGTCAAGTACTGTTGCCACGATAATCTACGCTACATTTCGTCAAAACGTCAAGCATTCATAACTTCGCTCAGAACAAAAGCTTTTGAACAGTTTGTCTTTGACCATGGTCCCAACCATACTGTTATGTGTAATTTTTATTTCAGAATATGAGTTTCCCATATTAGACTAAATGTGAATAGATTCGTTAACATTGTGATGTAGAAACGTATCGTTTCCTGTGACACATGCTTATTAAAGATAACAATTTACTGACATAAGATATATTTCCGTTACGCGAAGAAATCGAAAAATCACCGTGATTCAGCTCTTCCCTAGTAAAAAGTAAAAAACGTAGGCGTTAAATTAGATTGGCCGAAAAGTGACGTCGAATGTGTATAACAGTCCCCTGAAATTCCTAGGCGACTCGCAGCGAATGGCTCTAAAAAGTTGATTTACATGTAGCATTAAAAAAGATGAGTGTGACAAAGTGCTTAATTTTTTATTTTATATAAATATATTCTAAAAAAAGACTAATTTCCATACACAGGAGTTTCTTTTCAAAGAAAAAAATCATACCATCAAAATGACAATACAAGTGCTACAATTTTAAAACAAGCGTAGCAACCGTACGCTACATATCATTTTATATAGACCGTAAATAACTGATGGTCATATATTCTATCAAGCTAACAGTGAGGCTGATGTCCCCCACCGATATCCCAAAATAAATAGATGACACATATTAATTAATCGCACATTTATTTTTTTCAAAAGTATCGAGCAATCAAACTATACACTAAGTTTTATCACTCTCTTTCAGATAGAACCAAGATTATCTTGTCCCAAAGCATCTACCAATGAATTTGATTAGCTCTGTTTAGCTTTAGCTTAAAATATTAATCATTGAACACAGTCAAGACATTCACCTAATGAACATCTACGTCAAGTTTAAACATTCTGCCCCAATTAAAAGCAGAGTTGTTATGTTCCAAAGTCTTGACCAATCAAATTGCTTATCGCCCCCCCGTCTTCATTAGCCCAGTTCGGAGCAGAACACTAGGATGTTAAACCTCATTTCATTTTATTTCGCTTATCGCTCCTTAGCCTAAGCAGAAAATTTTCACCATCGAACTTAGTGAAGGTAATGATATAATGAAACTATATTCGGAGTTTCATCGCTCCAACTTCATTATAACCAAAGTTATCGCGCCCCAAAGCATTAACCAATCAGTTTGCTTATCTCTGTTTACCGTTAGCAGACAACATTCATCACCGAACTCCATCCAGGCATCCAAAGTCTCAACTAATCAAAATGTGTATTTCTCTGCTTAGTCAAGGTATTGATGTAATAAAGCTATACACCAAAATTAGAACTAAAGTGATGTGTCCCAAAGCATCAACCAATCAAATTGCTTATCCTATGCAGAAAATTCTCATCTTCGAACTCCATCAAGGCGTTCACCTAATCGACACCTACGCAAAGTATGAACATTCTAACGCAATTAGAATGAGAGTTATTGTGTTTCAAAGTCTCGACCAATCATATTTCCTTTCAATCTGCTTACCCTGAGCAGAAAATGCTCATTATCGAACTTAGTCAAGGTGTTGATGTAATAAAACTATACACCAAGTTTCATCACTCTCACTTAATTAGAACTAAAGTTATCGTGTCCCAAAGCATCAACCTTTCAAATTGCTTATCTCTGCTTAGCCTAAGTAGAAAATGCTGTCCTTCGAACTCCATCAAGGCATTGACCTAATAAACACCTACACCAAGTTTGAACAGTTTAAACATTCTAGCTTAATTAAAAAGAGTTATTGTGAGTGACGGACAGACGGACCAACCCGTTTTAATAGTCTCCTGCTTTCTTCGAATGGCGGGGGACAAAAAAAGTACAAGACAGACATACTGGTATGAAAAGGACAGAGACTAATTTCCATAATCAGGATTCTTTTCTAAGAAAAAATCACACCGTCGAAATGACAGCACAAGAGCTACAGTTTTTAAAAAGCAAAACCGCATACGTACGCTACACATCATAAATCAATAGAGACTTTTGGCAAGTGGAAGTTTTCCCATCCTTATAACGTATCCGTATCGTCACGTGATACGTTGCGTTAATTTAGTTTTAGAGTTTTGGCAGATTTTCGCGCCGGGTACGTATGGGTAGCTGAGCTGAGCGTAGTTCTGTTACAGCATAATGGCAGTTATCTACCAAGATCAACATCAGAACTAGTCAAGTATCTAGCCTTCAAATTCCTGAAGGGAGTGAAGTCTTTCGACAGTCGCTGAGTTATTTAAAAAAAATAATTAAAAATTAGTGTCGAATCTTATTAAAAATCTTCGACTTTTTTGGTTTCACTAATGTATCATTTCAGAAAGTATATACCCCTTTTACAGATTTGTAAGGTCCCACAGGTCCCGGCTCCCTAAATTTAGCATGTAGATCAACCAGCTTGCAGACAGACAGGAAAAATATGAAAATTCCGCGAACAGCTCAACAAAAGTAATGATTAAATTCCAGTCTTTGCCATGGTTAAAATCACGTCAAATATGTACTTTCGTGTTCTAGGATACACATCAAAAGTAATGATTAAATTCCAGTCTTTGCCATGGTTAAAATCACGTCAAATATATACCTTCGTGTTCTAGGATACACATATAGTCATAAAAACGCTACGGCACAATATTTCAGCGTCTAAAAGTAGCAAAACAAAGACGACGATGTTATACGGACCTTTTCCGTATGAAAGCTGTTCGATACGTGCTGCCGTATCCGTGTGCCGTATCACGTATGAGAATTACACACGCATTGATTACGTCACACACAAAATCGTTACGGTGCGCGATACGGACCAGGAATTTACGTTTGCCAAAAGTCTCTAATATGGTCACACGGGTGTATGGACATTATCAAACATAATGTGCAATTTCAAACCTAGTTCAGGGTTTGAATAAAATCCTACAGACAATATTTGGGGTTTATAAGGCTTACCATAAAATTTGATTTTTGAGGATAGAACCATTTGGACATCTTTTTTTTAAATGGCTCAAAATATGATCGGCTCCCATTATCAAGGGAGTTAACTCTTACTGACAATACAAGTTACGGTTCTTGGTTAATTTTGCTCTGGAACGAATACTTATTTCTGGATTCTTCGGGTTTTTTTTAAAGTACGTACAAATAACGTTTGTATGCATGCACAGCACTAGTCGCTGCCAGGGCTGGGGTAAATAGTTTCACCGGTGGTACAAGACAGGTGATTTTGGACGGGGACCCGGAACTGCTGCTGGGACTAGGGTAGGCTAACGACCAATGATGGGACCTGGTTCTGGCCCTGAGTTCTTGCCGGTGCTGGGGACTGGGATTAGCCTACTGCCGGTGCTGGTTGGTCATGCAACTGGTTTGGAACATTATTTTGATCTAACTTCCAAAATTTTATTTAGATTAACACAAAAATTCAGCTACATTAGGTTAAGTCTATGTAGCAGACATCTTAAAAGTTTCAAGTCTGTACCACAAACACTCTTTGTTTAACTGGCACTCAAAAAATGTGCTCTAAACGAGCTCCCCGGTGCTGCAAGCACATTTGGATCCGGCGGGCAAAGTTCTCGATGATCCTCCCACATTCTTCCCTTGGGGTCGCTTTTATTGCTGCTGTGATTGCTGCCTTCAGATCAGGGATAGTCTGGGGGTTGTTGCCATACACCCTTTCCTTAAAGTATCCCCACAGATAATAATCGGGGGCGTTCAAGTCCGGTGAATGCGGCGACCACTCCGGGTCACACCTGCGGCTGATCAGTCGGTCAGGGAAACGCTGCTGTAGCCATGCCAATGATTCGTTTGAGGGTGGCACCATCCTGCTGGAACCACTGGAGGTCCCCGACGACCCCTCTTCGTTATTCAAGTTTAGGTGATGAACGCTTTTTTTGTGTCACCCGGTACATAAAATACTTAAAATTTCGCTCTTCAAAATAATCGGAGAGTGATCTCCCGTTTCAAATAGACACAATTAACCAGTCGCTTAGTGAACAAATCGAATGCGAGGGCCAAATCTACTTGTTATGACCAACTCAATTTTCGTCAAGGTCGCTGAGATGTAAATAAGGTTAGGACACGTGATAGTTGGCGAGACAAGCATTCGGGCTAGGTCCAGGGTAAAGGTTCGGATTAGCGCTAGTACTGTAGATCTCGTGGGCTTCGACAAAACTTGAAGTTGGCCTTATCAACTAGATATAACCGAATGCGGGGGGGGGGGGTGTACAATTACGTCACGGATGTTTTCTTTAAGTACAAATTGATTTTTATTTGGTTTTTACATCATTAAAACCAAAACCCGGGCGTCAACCATGGGGGGAAAAAAGAATTTCAAGAGAATTGTTAAATATTTTGTGCTACAATATCAATAAACACCTCCTGTTTAGAATTTATCGGACTGTTATTGTCCATATAATACCGCAATCTCTGCCTCTAATGGTTTAAGCTGTATCAAATGGACAATAACAGTCCTCAAAATTCTAATCTGTTGGTGTTTATCTCCTAATTGTAAACTCAGTAACACTACATCAACATAGGGATACGAATTTTGTTACGAACAGTAAATAAAAATAAGTCGGAAGGAACTCTATTGCATGTCTGGTTTTCTGTTAGCCAAACTCATGGTTATATAGCGTCTAACAATAGGGAAAGTGGATAGGAACAACTTATAAAGAACTGGGTCTCAAAACACAAGGACATCATTACATGGATTTGTTTTTACACCACATGTTATATTGTATGATTAGCTGACCACTGTGTATTTCATTTGACGAAATGGTCAGACTGTACACAGGTCATACTGTAAGGTTACCGACACCCTGTCCGCATCGGCGCCTACGATTAATTAAATGTGGGAATGGGAGGGGAAGATCGCCGAAGGCGGGTCTTGTCAGGATATCCGTGTTGGCGTCTGGTGATGTTGTTTTCCTCCTTTTTCCGGTTCCATTTATGCGCTCCCATCCCTCGTTTATTATTTAACACCCAGCCCAACCTTCCGATATACGGGTTCTTTGGAAGCTAGCCCCACGATTGAAGGGGAGTAACTCTTCATTTACTCTACCATGTAAGTAACGACTAAGGCTAAATATACGTTCAATATGCCTGTTCCTTTATTACGTGAAAAAGGATTTAAAGTATAATATGACAATGAAATACATTTATATACATGTTAAAATATGGGTGTCCGGCGTGGTGGGAGATAACGTTCGTGATTATTACATATTGTTAACCCGGCGACAATATTAATGGCGGCATGTTTAGGCTACTACAAACGAAGGTAATAGTAGCAATACTCTTATATTCGAAACATTACAGATCCAAGTTCCCCCGCGGGCATGATTCTCACCTTATTATTTAGGTAATTGGTCGGGTAATTGCGACAAGAAAGATTTTTCCGCTTTTGATCACTTTATGAAAAAGGTAGTTTGCCGTGGATACGACGAACCGTTATCTGCCCTTCCGACGTTCGATCACCCTTTATATAGAAAAATTAAAGTATCACGTGACGTCATTAACCAATCAATTATTGTCCTTTTTGTTGTTGTCGGCACTTCTTTGACAATTGAAGTGTTCGACGTTAAAATAGTCTATTAAAATAACGAATCCAACTTGTCCGGTACTTGTCCGTTTCACTTAAATTTGACAAGGAATTATTTAATACGTACAGCGAAGAGATTGATTATAAACAGACAAAACGGACAATAACTATCAACAGCGTAATTTTATGAAATGTGATCAAACCACGCGTAACTATTCAAGACGTAATGGGTAACAACATAATCCAGTTGAACTACGTCAATCCTGGCCATAAAACATATTAAAACCCGATACAATTATTATAACAACCAAGATAAATTACTATACTTGGCAATGATGTACAATAAGCATAACCAGAAGACTAATAGAAACATTATATGTAACAATCTGACAGGTCGTTGTTAAGAACGACGTGACACAAAATGGACGTCTACGTATTGAAATATATAAATGTGCTCGTATTCGTAACTAAGGACTATTCCAATGCAAAATTGAACGTTCGGGAAAAGGACTATGCAATGTTATAATTGACAATAAGTGCAAAAATACCGAGAAGATTATTCGGGAGGCTAACAAGTAAGTAAAACTTGTTCGTTTTATACAAAATATTACTTGAAATGGTTTGTTTACACGAGGCCTTGATTTCACGACTGACGGTAATCACGTTATAATAATAATATGTCCGTACCAAAATACCCGCCGCATGCTGATAATTTAACGAACAATCTAAGACTTAAACAACAATATAACAATCAAGTAATGCAATAAAATGATAATATGTACAGGGCTGAATTCGATATATTACAATACGTAGCTTGTCATTTACATGTGGGATTTATTAAGTCTGTAAATAAAACACTTGAAATATGTGTCTATGAAAAGTTGAATAGCCAATATCATATACTATCAAAAAAGGTGGGGTTCAGTGCAACTAAATAAACGTTAGTACTTTATATGATAGAAAATAGTTTACATTTGATGAAAGTTATGGAGTACTTTGTCATATTAGTACCAAACGAAAGTAGGGCGATTAAATCCCTATTTTATAAAAGTTTAAGATGTATCAACGTTTTCATTTAAAGACCCTATGCGTGAATGCCATGCAAACAAAACAATTATGAAAGTTGGATCTCTCTAGAAGGAAAATCAGTCAAAATAATTATGGTTCAATCCCATTCACATTTACAAAGAGATGAATTAAAAATTCTATCGATCTTTGCTACTCCCTATGTGAATCAAAATGAAAGGCCTGTTTTTTTTAATCCTATTGAATTCACGCCGGGTATACTTACCTAGCATTTGCCGTTTAGTTTATTTAAACATGCATGATGCAAGAGCTAAATCTGCCTATAGCAGGTCTTTCTTTGGGCCTGAAATGTTTTCTAAAGTATAAATTAGACATTCATTAACTGATCCAGGCCCTAATCAACTCTCGATGGTATCAGATTTCTCCGATATTAAATAGATTAGAATGGTTCAGCGATACTTTGATTTAATCAAATATGGAGGACCGAGACTTAGCTTCGATCAACCAGTACGGTGGTTGAAATTATGGCACACGTCTGTCAAACCTTCAAAGGCTAATATCTTCGCTTGCAATAGAGTAATTTGAATGAAATTTTCAAATTATTCTTTTTACATCATCTACTTTCGAACTATTATAGCAAGAATGACTAGTTCGTTATCTAAATCTTACATAATGTATCTTTAATTAAATATTCAATAATCAATCTGAGAAGATAAGCGTAGATTAAGCCGTTAGAAATTTGACATTATCCAAAAATGCAATTCATGCATCGTTGCTTTAATTTCACAACATCATTAATCGTTATAACAAAGTGTTAAATTTAATATGTAACTTAACAACATATTTAGCCCATCTTTGATGTAATAACAATGTTTACACATAACAAAACATTTATTTGAGATTTTGATGATACCAGTATGTCATTATTTCGACGTGTCACTACATTATGTGAATATGGATCATAACTGAAAACACATTATTGAATTGATTGGATTCAGACGTCATTTAGTTTTTCTCCTTGTTAGAAACCGGTAAGGGTACCGACTGATTTGGACTATTTTGTGACGTGGGCTTTTTTAACAACCAGTATAGAAAATGAAATGAAATGGGGTTTAATGTTCTACTCTGACTAACCAGTATTGGCCTGAGTATATTGTAATGTTGGCCTATCTATACTAAGTATTATTAACCCGTTTGTATTTTGCAAAATAGCACCTTGTTTATAGTATCCGGGCCGTTATTCATGAACACTTAAGCTAAAGTATATATTTTAAGGGTGTGGCCCTATCATTGGTTGAGGTTTAAAAGCCCAGTACACACGTTAGCTCTAATTATAAGCCTATTTCAGGGCTATACATTCGTAAAATAGTTTAAGCTTCAGTGAATAACGCCCCTATTCCACTCTTATTTCCAACTTTTCGAAATACATATATACAATTCCTCCTCGACACGAAGCGGGTAATAGAATATAACATCTCCAGATAAATCAAAAAGTTCTGTGTTACCAACAAGGGATGTTTACCAGAGCGCCATGACTGATTTAATTCACATATAAATGAGCAAAGAAAATTAAATAATAGTACACATTTGTAACTTTATTAATATATTTTGAGGTAAGACATTTTCTCTAATTTACACAGTAAGGTTCATCTGCAGAAGTTCGTAGGTAAAACGATCCTCGGGATTCTGTGTCTGAGTGGTATCCCATGACAGCACAACCACTTCCACAACTTGCACATTGACCGTTTTCAAAGTTGGACCAGGAACTACAGGGAAAGGAGTTAAATGTACAGTCGCCATTTATAGATTCCGTGAAGAGGTCGATAGCTCTCATGTGGCTACACGCAACATCGCTCGTCAATCCTGAAATAAAGATGAGTTAGAATATTGTTATTAATTTGGACCATGTTAAAACATACTATTTTATGATCATCTACAAACTAATTGAATCTTATAAAACTGACACATTTCTGAAATTGAAAAAAGTCTTTTGTTTACGTTATCGAGAGATAATCAATGGGCATTATTACAAATGAATTATTCATCCTGTTATATAAATGTTGTCAATTAAATCACAGTCGTAACCGTCAAATTTAGTCGCTGTAATAGAACACCCCCCCCCCCCTCCCAAACCAAAGCAATATTCATAGTATCGCGGTCAGGCTTCTACGTTATAGATAAATATATAAATACAGACACCAGGTGAGTGTTACTCAAGAAGATCGTCTACATCTCGTTGAATAGGTATCACACAATTATGGTCGTGGAAGCAGACGTTAAAGGACAAAGGTACTACCAGCTTTAAAGGTCGTAACTTAAGGAGATAACTACATGGTTTACCACTGAAAATATTTGAAACAAGGTTAAACTATTCAAGGTCCGGAGCGAAACCAAACTAATACATTACTCCATAATCCCTTTAGAGTGAATGGGGGGATCACGTGGCTAAGTGGATAAGACACTGGCTCGCTAGCCTGGAGGTCGGGTGTTCGATCCCTGCATTGGACGAGAAAGTTCATCCCGATTTTCCGGACAGCTGTCTAGTCGTTCTGATGGGACGAAAAACCGAGGTCCCGTGTACAAATTGGCGTGCACGTAAAAGATCCCTTGGCAGTTGGAATTCGATATAAGAGTAGGCCGTAGCGCCGCTGCCCGGGCAAAATTTCCCTCATAGCACACTGTATGGCGTATGCCCGTCTTCTTTAGCCCAGTTTAGGAGCAAAACAGTAGGACGTTAAACCCCATTTCATTTCATGAATGGATGAATGAGCGGTGGGGAAAATACTCGCCCAAGTGGGTACATGAAGATTTGAAAGTAATGATCCATATAATTAAAAGCTAAACGGAAACAGTGTAGGTTTGAGATAAATATTCTGAAGATAAAGTTATCGTCTATATCACTGAAGTGCGCTCGTCGTCAGAAATTGGTGATAGGCAGGACAGTGCACAAACGCGGGTCTCAAATTATATCATTAATATGCGTCTTATAGACTGAAAGAAACGTCGTTAGACTTGATGGCACACAAACATTACAGCATAGCCATAGCGCAATAATGTTGATGTTTTTACCAAAGAGCCCTAATTGATTGATGACAGGCAAGAATTACTGTAGCATAGCGCGTCTCATACTATCAACAGAATCACGAATACTTATACTCACGGCCAATGTTACCAGTGATGAGATCTAACAAGGTTCTTCTAGTATTTGGACATCCGGGTTGATTCTTTCCACCATTGGGATAAAAACCCGCATCTCCAATTGCTTTAGACATACCAAAAGCTGAAAGTAGAATAGACAGGTTGTGTCTTAATTAATAACACCTGTGGGGCAAATCTTTGAAACACAGAAAAAAAGCTTGAGGCTTGGCACACTTAAACGTCTCACCGAACTCACGACTCTTAAAGATCATAAGCTGTAGGACAAGAAAAAGAGAGAGGGCACCTCCATGTCCTATTTTTGTATCAGAATATGTATAATTATCCACCTCTTCGCCAAGCAGGGACGTGGCTGACCACTGGTTTTGAATCAAGAACTATCTAGAGTCGAATAGTGTCGTCACAGCTGAGCAACGGTATATGTTTGACACTGGTTGAGCAATATGAATATAGGGCAATCTGAATATTTGTAGTAACATTAGAACGTAGTTCGTGCCAATAGCGTTGAAAACCGTATTTAAATCGCTCCTAACGTCTCTAAAGTCGTATAATAATTAGTAATAAACTGAAATACATTTTACCACGTGTATCTTTAAATTGTACTGTCATCTTTTAGACAAAATATATAGGGTTTCTTTGATTACCTAACTGAAGAAGTGTTTCGCCGTCAGTATGTATTGCATCTACATAGTCAGCATCAGAAGGATCCAATCGGACTGTGACATCATAGTTTTCAAAACCCAAACCAGCAGGATCTAAACCAGTTATTCGTCCCAACCCTGGTATAATTTCTCCAATATATCCCGCAATATGAGAACCCAGACTGTGACCAATGATGTGAACATTGGAGTAACTGATTCCACCAACTGACTTCAGATCTTTGATAAGTTGAGCAGCCACAGCACCAACTACTCGTGTATTAGCAACTGCTTTAAAATAGTTGATCTGGGCAGCGCCCTCTTTCCAATTAACAGCGATGACATTGGCATCTTCCTACATAAAAAAAAGAATAGTAGAAATACAAAGCTGCAACTGTTGTATTCGCCTGTTTTTCAACAATAATTGTTGGGTTACTTATCTTGTTCTCGGGGGCGACGCTCTTTGCAAAAAAGCCTAACACTCCGCTAATTAAGGTACAATGTAACTCGGTATGCTTGTTCCTTGGACAATTGAGTCGGTATTATTGACTTTTTGGTACAATACAAATCGTTTCGTGTTTATTTAATAAAAGGCTGTGACATTCGCAGGGTCGCTGTCTTCCAACTAAAAACAAACACCTGTGCCATACTTGCAGAGCCACCGTGACTCTTCGCTACCTTGAGTATTAAAGTGGATTGTCTCCAAGAAAAGTGTATGTCAATAGCACAGAACTCGACTTTAGTCCTTAATGGATTAGATCTTAATTAGTAACATTTTTGACATACATTTCGTATATTTTTGACATACATTTCGTATTTCTTGTCTTCAAATTGCATAAATCAAACGAAAAAAAACTTCCAGAATATTCCAGAATTTCGTCGACCATTTTCACAACCCATGCCGCGTCCCCTTCATCTGTGTAACCATGTATAATGAGGATCGTTTTTAATTCAGAGTCGAAATGACTATCCGTGATACTCGCATGATCATTTACGTTGACGCCTTGATTACTACTCTCTCGTGTTCAGTGAAAAACTGATCCCTTGCTTTTCTGTCGAATCCGGTGTGTTGCCCTTTGCGTTGTTAAAGGGTTTGGCCGTAGAGAAACATCCGTATGGCTCGTAACAAACATTTCGTGGGCCAAAAAGGATTGCTAAAAAGAAACAAAAAGATGCTGAATGCCAATTAGAAAAAATTACAGCGTCCTTTATTATGGTAAAATAGGTAGCTAAACGACGAATGTACCACAAATTTACTAACAGTTTGTTAGTTAAAAGGGCAAACTATCCCTTTCCGATGAAGGGCGAGAGTTTTGTGAAGGACTGGCGGTGAATTTTAATGTGGTCTTACCCCTTATCACCAGTTCAGAGTTACTCGCTCTTGATCTATTGTATCAGATATTCGGTGTTTTAATCATTTATCAGAGACACCGCCAGAACAGAGGGGCGATTTGAGTGTTTATTCATGTTGGTTATTCCTTCTTATTATAAATACACTCGAATTTCCATTTTGTGGATGTTTTGTAGACTTGATTTTAGATTTGTATATTAGGACCTAATACGTAGCATATTTAGAGATTTATTTTAAAAAACATTTTAACAATATGGCAACCGCACAAAGTTTTTTGGCATTTGGGATTCGCCGCCGTATGTGGTCATTGAATAATTCCACTATAGCCCGTTCAAAATCCCTGTTTTACTTACCCGTCTGAAGCAATAAAGATACATTCCCACAAAAGTATTTATCGGGTTGTTAATTCCAATAAAAGTATTGCAATTTTGGTATATATGGAAAGTAGAGATACCCAATCTAATATTAGAATAAATACTGGATTCCTTGAAAAACATCCTTGGAGCGCGCACAGGACAAACATGAGAGAGCGTCACTAATTGGCAGCCTGGCGATTAACAGCTGTCGGCTCGCGTGACGTCAAAGGATGCACGCGTAGATTGTCTGAACTCTTGGCATTAGGGAACGCTTGAGGTATATGTTGGAAGTCATTTGGTGCAATTTAGATGCAAAATTTGGATTTTGGATACAGTCAGTGTCTAATTATTCTGGTCTAAATTTTCGCGATTTACCAAATGGCAATCTGTAGTAGGCCTACCGTATTTATAGTATGTAAAATCATTGATGCAAAGTTTGTTTGCTTTTGTTTATGTCTACTCGGGTTCAAAGAGCCTCAAAAAGATTTTTGAATTTAAAAAAGAATCTCAAAAAGATTTTTGAATTTAAAAAAGAATCCCAAATTTTCATTTTTTTCTCGAATATTAGATAGATCTATATAGGACCTAACTCAATCCCAATATTTCTTAAATAATATTTATTGACCATTCATAAATTTAGTTCTAGTAGGCCTATTGATTTACATACAATGCCTAGGCATTTAGCATACTCTTAAATAAATAGTTATTTTTCATAAAAAGTTTTTTTTACAATTTTATATTTCATTTCAGAACAACAAGTTAATAAGAAAATTGGACTACTCAGATCTTATTAAAATAAAGAGTTGGCCAAGGTGAAGAAGGTTGTCAGTGGTCAATCTACTTCCAGTGGTTACAGAAGTATGTGGCAGTACTTTGACCTTTTGGATGTTTTTTTTAGGGATAACACAATCCCAAGAAAATTAAGCAACAATTTAGGCCTAGTAGTTGTAAGTGATATAGAATCATTTGTATACATTTTTAAACTTAAGACCTTTGGATACTGTTTGAATTATTGTAACTCAAATTTTCGTTGTTCTGGAATAAGTGAACTCGTTTTACATTTATTAGTCTCAAAATCAGACCTAGTATATAAGATGTTGGTTGCAATCTACGATCTCAGGTTTTAAGATATATTGAGCACTAATAATCGTGCAATGCAGGCCTATCACCATTTAATGTCAAAGTAATTATTTTGTACTGTAGTGCATACAGATTTCTACATGTCAAAATAAACGATTTCAACATGTCAGACCAGAAAAAGCTTTTCCTAATCCTATTGATTTGTTTTTAGTGTGGTTATCTGCCTTGAATTGAAATAGTTGTCCTAATTGTATGGTTGATGAGGTTGTCTCCCATTATTATGGTAATTTATTTGAAATTTGCATGGTGGCCTTATTAAAAACTCGAGAGTAGTTATTTGGTGCTGCAATCAAGTCCCATTGATTAATCATAACATTAAATTGAATGTGTTTTTTTAAAATATATTTGCAGGAGTCAACTGAAGCGGATAGTGATGTTGCCATTTCTCTTCCTCCAGAAGGAGACATTTTACAGCTTAACTCTATGTGCTCTCAGCACCAATTAGCTGAAGTCACTCCTGAAAAAGACAATGAAAACTCAACAACTTCAAAGTCATCACTGTGTTCCAAAAAAAACCCCAAAACAGATGATCTGACATTCATACACTGCTTTAATATATGGAAGGGTATCGCTGCCAATATTAAATGCTCTGCGACAATGTCGTTTCCATTGATTATATGTAAAAACTACAATGTACAAAGTCCTAATACCGATATTGATAAAGTCAAAATACCTCTACGACAGGAGTTAAATGTAAAACGTCAAATGTTAAGTGTTAAATGACAAATGTTTTGTGGGAAAATGCTTTTTTTGACGTGTCTACATTTTTCTCATTACATTTTACATTTGCGCTCTGCCACATCCCATTTGTCCTTCACGCTTTCTACATAGCATGTTTCGTACAGCATCAACTTGCATATACAAATGTAGGATATCACGTGACTTATTAACATATACGGAAACCTGGCACACTATAAGCCAGAACAAGGATATTCACGACACTGATCAATTTTTAGATCAATTACATAGTCATTGTAATTTAATATGTTAGAGCAATATGATGATGAACAACTGACCAATTTAAGGACCCCTTGCATTGCATTTATTTATTTATTTATTTATTTATGTACATACGCAATTAAATTTATTTAATTACTGTGACTACTTATTACTATAACTTTGGTTGTAAGCGTACAAACGTTTATGCCATTGCCACTCAACCTGTCCTGCTGTATTAAATTACTGGCAATACTCTTCCCTAACTGTCCTGGCATCTGTTTGATTTCTGTTGCCTCCCTGCTGTGCGAAGAAACGAAGTTGTGATTCAGGGGGTACATCCAGGTTGACAAAGTCACTATTAAAGTTGTAGCTTGTATCCTCAAAAAGTTGTGGAGTGAAACAATTTCTTGGGACAACCAACTCTGCATTACCAGGTTGCAGTAACATCGGTTTCTGCAGAACCCCAAACCTCTGCGTGATTATTCCAAAAGCTCAATCTATAATTAAAAATTATTTTTTCAATAGTAAGTCCCCTCGTAGGAAAAGGTTTCATTAGATTGGTTTTCAGAGGAAAAGCATCATCCCCAACAATCACACATGGTACTGGTGTTTCTCTACCTGGTAGAACTTTGAGAGGAGGGAGTTTGAAAGTGTTCTCTTCTAAAGCTGATGAAATGGGTGAATTGGCAAATAAACCGGCATCCCCTACCATTAGCCCCAATAATCCGCCTCAACTAAAGCAAGCAATGTAATGCTGCAGAAGTCTTTGTAATTATAAAAGGTAGCACCACTGTGAAATGGCTTCCTAAGAGCAATATGCTTGCCATCCAGTGCTCCGATGCAGTTTCCATCTGCTGTTGAAGCCATGTATGACTGTCTCCCATTCATCTGGTTTGTTGGGGACCTGAAAAAATTATTTTGTAAAGGAATTATTTTAAGTATATTTGGCAATGTGTAAAAAGTCGTCTGGCCTTAAAAGAAACGGATTTGTACTCGGGTGTCTTGTAAATCACTTGCCTTTAAATAATCTTCTCTCAGTACATCGTAAATAGCTTTACAGGTTTCTGGAACAATTAAGCTTACTGTGTTTCTTAGAATTCTATACAAATATTCAAGAGACTGGTAACTGTCACCTGGAAAGAATGTGAAAAAATATTCCATCTCAATCCATAACTTATAGTAACCTTAATCTTAAAATGTAGTTATCTCCCTTTTATTTAATTTTTATTCCAAGCCTTAACTTTAAATTCGATTTGATTTTGATCACAAAAAATGTAGTTATCTCTCTTTTATTTAATTTTTATTCCAAGCCTTAACTTTAAATTCGATTTGATTTTGATTACAATAACAATTCAGCTATTAGTATAACCCACGGTTGTTATTGTTATATTTGATTAAAGATATTACCTGTTGCTACTTTCACGCATTTGTGTATCCTTTCTTGTAATATACGGCTTTACTTTAATAATTCCTCAAACGTTTTCCCCGTCCATTCGAAGAAAATTTTTAAGGACTTTCTGGTCGTGTGACTTTAGTTCCTCCATAAGAGAATAATAAGCCCCAAACTGATGTCTTGGCCTAATCCATGGTCTGACCCAACAAGATCTTTCTCGTTTTTTTCTTTTTGTTTGATTAATAAAACGCAACATACGGCCGCAACATCAATTTCTTCATCAGAAGTTAACTCAGCAATCTTTTTACTTTCCTCCATATTTACATTTCTGCTGTGTCACATGACCAAAACCCATAGGATTTTACTTACTGTATGATCACAAAAACCTAGACGATTGATCCTTTAAGACTTTCGGTGGGATTTGACTTAAAGAATAAATCCACTAGTGTGACTCAGTCTTTAGGTATCGCGATATCCAAGACACGAGATAGCTTCGGGTGTTTCCTTGTGAATACAATGTTTTCAGAGGGATCTGAAGCTCATTTTGACATATTAATTAGTTTGAATAAGTTTTTAGTCCAAATATATCATCAGAGAGAGAGAGAGAAATGGGGTTTAATGTCCACTCGACACAAACTAGGTCATTTCGGGTCCAACATGGTTTAATTTTATTTCAATAATTCGCTTGTGCGTAGGGGTCTTTAGCAGTGGGAGGACCCGGAGAAAACCCACGAGGGTGGACAGGCGACCCTACTCCTTGTCACGTACAACCGGCGATTCGAAACCACGCCAGTTGACTCA